GCATGCTTTGGATGCTTGAATCAATAGGCATGTGTTCTTTGCAGACAAGTCGTCAGAAAAGCAGTCGACAAAATCAATGAAGAAATAACTTGGATGGCTAAGGAACCGAGCTTGCCATGAAACTGGCTTGCATGAAGCATGAACAGCGTTTCTGATATTGCGTTAGTGATATATATATATATATATCAGGAGTGTCTCAAAGGAAAAAAACACGTCACCTGCAGGTGCGTGTCAAAAGAGAGATTCGCCTGGTCACTAGGGTTGAACAAGTTAAGTTTGCACGTGCTCATCTGATTCGCCGGCGAAGTGACTCAAGTTTACTGTTCGGTTCTCGAAGACCGAGGAACAACCAGTTGGCGACCCATTTCAGGACTTATTTTCAGATGGCAGCAGGCGACGCTGCGGCGCTGGCCGGAGCGTTCGGACTAATGACGCCAGGTTGGCGTCAGTCATCTTTGATTTTCTCTTGTGGGTGTCAAAGAGAAGACGCGCAGCAAGTACAAATGTAATCCAGGAACCTCTTCGCACGATCTCTGGGTGGAATTACCAGCGACCTGATGTACCGGAACTTCGCATTCCGTGGACGGATCTGGGCACAGTTCCTGGCGCTGTTCTTCGAGGCAGGGTGGGGATTTTTTGGCGGTGTTGGGCATCAGGCTGAATGACACAATAAGGATTGTGAGCCCCTGCCCTTCAACTTACTGGGGGGTTAGTAGGGAATAAGAGAATCTGATTCCTGAATAACCCTTATCATATATCTATATTTCCCTACCAAGCCCCAGTAAGTCAAGGGGTCACAATGATGTGTTTGCTCACTCCCATGCCATGACCTTCACCTTGCCAATGGAACAGCCCTGAACCCCGAATACAACAGGCGAGACGCGGTTTAGGGCTTAGGGTTTAGGGCTCCGGGTTTAAGGGCTTAGGGCTTAGGGTGTAAGGCATCATTGGTTAAGTCTGTTTTCCCCCTCCTCCGTGCCCCCAAAATGGAATTGGTTCAACAAGGGGATCTTGGTTACATCAACCCTAATTGAGCGACTGATGAGGCTTACTTTTTCAGCCCCAAGTCTCAAGGGAACGCCCAGCCAGCATCACATGTGGGGCTTAGGGTCACTCAACGTAACATTCAACTTAGAGGCCTTAGCAATGACCAATACGATGCTTCTTGAATCCTTTGACTCTGGTATAGGATACCTCAGGGTCATTTCATTATGGTCTGTTTACCCTTCCAGGCCATCGTCCTCTTTGCATTCGGGAAGTAGCCCTGAACCTTAACTTGAAAAACCCAGAAACTCAAACCCGCCGCCTTGTCCTAGACCAAAATGTAGGCCATCTTCCTCTTTGCGTTCGGAAACGTTGACAACAGTCAGCCTTGGTACGTGGCTTTGGCTGTGCTGGTGTGTTTTTCCTTGCTCCTGGGCCAGCTTTAAAGAACGCATTCCTCGTGTGTAGGTGGTTTAGGGTTTAAGGTTTAGGGTTTAGGGTTTAGGGTAGCTGGCAGAAACAGGACCCCCGCAATATTGTAAGTCACACTATCCAAAAAAGAGGCAACCGTTGTCTGGAAACTGGCATGTGTGAAAAGTGTAGGTATCGCACACGTAACAGGGCTGAAAGTTACCATGCTCTACTGGAAGGAATTTCCCAAAGGGTCCATGTAGCCATATGTTATATATCTGGGCCTTAAAGTAGGTATGTGGGAACCCCTTTGGGCTTAGACATTCAGCATGACAGTCTTTTTGGAACAGCAGCTCAGGTTCGTGCAGATGGCAGAGGGGACATCGTGCCTTGGAGATGAAATGCACAGCAGCACCATGGGGATTTCCTTAAAGTAGGTAAAATACTAGCCCCAAAATCCTCAAAACCGCCCCAAAGGGCATTATTTTAGATACTTTCGGGGTTCAGGTATGGAAACTACGATGATGCAGAATCACATGGAAAAGGAAAATGGAAAATGACATGGAAGCCGGGGTCCTATGGGGATTTTCTGGGGAGTTCCCTAAGTTCACGATAATACAGGTCCCTATCCAGGTTCCTTTTTATACTGTGAGTCTCTAGATGAGATTTCCCCATGGTAGGAAGAGCAAGTTAGGCCAAGTCCCACACGTTTAGGGTGTAGGGTTGTATGAAAAAAATCGATCGACGTGTCTCCACTCAACCGGATGCGCAGCTAGTTTTTGTTTGGGAGGACTGTAAACAGCTGACGTGGAAAGCTTCATGACTATGAAGCCTACTCTCCAAAGTTTGCTTCCATATCTGAACCCTTAAACCCTAAACCCTAAACCCTAGCTAGTCAGTCCAAGTCATGATGGGCCCAGGTCATCAGTTTTCAGGGCAAAGGACACGGGAATTCGAGCATACCCCAATGAGGTCATATTCAAAGAAACTAAGCTTAGATGGGTGCCAATCACACATAAGTAATGAAGAAGTGAACTATTATCAATACCGCTCCTTGTAATCTTTTTAAAGATCTATACTAGACTATAGACCAGAATCTATCTCGATTGAATACGCCCCTACATTCAGGATGTGCGGGCGCTCTCACCCTCTAACCCTTGTCAAACTTGCAGCTGAGCAGACAGGTACGGCATCGTGCCCTTCATGAATCTGGGCCGTGGTTCACGGTTTGGGGTTTAGGGCTTAACGTATAGGATCTAACAGTTTAGCGTTTTGGCTTTACGGTTTGGACATGTTTTCTATTATAGAGGAGTACTACAGAACCACCTAGAACAGAGAGTGTACAAAGTCTATAGTGACCCAGGGCTCGGACCTAAGGGAGCTTTGGACGTGTGTGGTTTCTAAGGGGGTTATACGGCTCCACTTTAGGACGATGTGAGATCAGCTTGATACATTCCATGGGAATCTAAGTGTGTTTACAAGACCTTGGTTGGCCATCAAGACTGTAAACAGTACCTACTTTGATCTATTTGGGTCCCACGGACTGGGTAATCATACCCCAAGCCCAAAGCTTTAGATTGTCGTACCCTAAACCGTAAACCCTAAACCCTAGACTCTTAACCCTAAGCCCCTAATAGACCCTAAACCCTTAAAAGACCCTAAAACCTTCACCTAAACCCTAATGGGGTTTCGTTTCCATCACCCAGGAATCGCAAGCAGCTTGCAGTCGTCTCGGCGCTGGTAGGAGCCGGTGGAAGCTGGGCTCAAGGCTACAGACTATCCCCTTCTACTGGGTTGCTGTTAAAGACCTTAAGTTAAGCATACCGCAATGGTAAAGTAATTAATAGGGTTTCCCCAGTGTAGTAGCTTGAGCTAAGTTCCTTAGCAGCAACCCGGTCTAGGTCTTGAGGAGTAGCTTGCTCAACAGTTCTTCCAGCACCTGCACTTGTTTGCTCAGCGCGCGGCAGATGCGACACGTAGGGGCTTCTTCCTTTGCATTCTGCGCGTGAGCGCTTTTGCCGGTGCAATGCGCATGCACGACGCAAGCCACAGCAACATACAAAAAGGAAGTAATTGCGCAGCGCTAGGCCAGGTCTTTTCAGGCCTGCCATCAGTGGAAGGTTTTTTCAACAGCCCAAAACACACCTACACAAACTCCTTAAAGCTGCTTCCGAGTGTTCCCCATGCGTTGGATTCTGTCTAGGTCTGGCAGCTGCTGTTGCCCACGTCCCTAAACTTGGGCTGGTGCAGGTGCAGTTGCCCTAGAAATCCAAGTATACAAAAAATACCTATGTGGGCCCAAAAGTCTGCACATATTACCTAGATTATTTGCATTCACAGGATTTTCCAGAACCAAAAGAATGTATACAGAAATCTTAGCGGTTCCTAGGTTCTTAATTAATAGGGAACAAAGGAATATAATCCCTAGAGAATACATTCCAATATCCATATTGGCAATTACTATAATATAGCATAATAGATTATAATATACCTTAAGCCCGAAACCTTAAACCAAATAACCCCTGACCCCCTAGCAAGAAATAGCAAATTAGGGGCTCAGATTAGGGGCCCGTGGTTCTGATCTAGGACTTTGGGGTTTAGGGTTTAGGGAATCGGGTGGTGTTCCTAAATCCTAATGTACATCCACGATAACCCGCTAAAGGCATTTGTATTGGTAACGGTCTAAGCCCCTCTATCAAATAACATTACATTACATGGCAGTACATTACAGTACATTACATACCCTAAACCCTAAAACCCTAAGCCGTAAACCTTAAATCCTAAGCCCTAAATCTTAAATCCTAAACCCTAAAACCCTAAGCCCTAAAACCCTAAATCCTAAACCGTAAGCCCTAAAACCCTAAACTCTAAACCCTAAAAGCCCAACCTGGCGGACCCCCACAAGCATGGGAACCAAGGAAACCTGGGTGCCGTGATTGCCGGGTTCTGCTTCTACAAGCCTATCACTGACGCCCTGGCGTCTGGGTGAAAGTTTATGGTTTAGGATTTAGGTTCAGGGTTTAGGGTTTAGGGTTCAGCTAGGGTTAGGGGTTGTGAGTTTTGGGGTGTTATCCGGCGATATGCAGCTTGTTTCGTTTGACTCGGAGATGTTGTTCTTTGAGGCGTATATCCCAAGCCTAGAGCTCAAAACGAAAGCCTAGTATATGCCCTGAAAGTTAAGCCCTGCGTACGGCGTAGAATTTAAGAATTGATCCTTAACCTCACAAACAGCCAGCTGCCTGAAGCCGAAACCCCAAGCCTTGAAATCCAAACCCAAATGGAGATCCGAAGCTTTAATCAAGCCCTGATGATGACCCCCGAAACACTGCTCGAAAAATTAGCCTCTGAACCCTAAAGCCTCCCCACTTGATCCCTTTCAGGGCTGAATGAGCTTTCCCATTCAAAGGGGGTTGTAGACGTTTGCTCTACCTGTAAGTCCTTTATGCTCTAAGCCGTAAGCCCCGAACCCTAGACCCCAAACCTGCTTACCAAGTCCCCCCGATAAGACCTTCCACATCAAAGGCACCATTCCAAGTGCATGCGGGGTATGTGATGTTTTGGGCTCTCCTCAGCCCCTGCTACTACTGGTCCGAGTACGGGGGCATGCTCCTTGGTCTTGAGGGTTTAGGGTGATGTAAGATTTAGACTTAAGGCTTGTAGGGCTAAGGGTTAGGGGGGTTAGGTTTCTTTTTTGTGATTTGATGATTTGTGTTTACGGCTTGCAAGTCATCAGGAATCCCTAAATCATGTCCCCTGAGCCCTGAACTCTCAAACTGCAACACCGCCATCACCGCCTGAACGTACTGGTGCTGCAGGGGGAGCCCCCCTAAGACACCAGAAACCTAAACGCTAAACTCGAAACCTTAAACCTCGAGCCCTCAACATCAACCTGAAACGGTAAATTCTAAAAGACTGAAGAAGGTTGTTGAGGTCCCAGCTCGGCAAGTACACAAGAGCCAACTGAGGTTCTGGGGGCCCGCCGAGACCGCACCGGAGAAGAGCAAGGTCCAGATGGGCGATTCGGAGATGTCTACCGAAGCCCCAAGCGAGGTTGCAAGGTGCTAAGCGACAAAATGTCTGGGTCAACCTGGGGGGGCGAAGATCTGTAGAAGCCT